ATATAGAACTCTACAGAACTTCTACAGCTGCCGCACTTTGGAAATTCTATTCAAGGTTTTCCTTGAGACTCAGAAATAATGCTCCTTCTCTCCCAAGCAGCGTAGCTTTCTGTGTCAACATCGGGTTGACTTAGTACCGCTTTCCCCGCCACCTCCTGCCCAGGTGGCTTTGTGCCAATGCAGGAAAAGACAAATCCCAAGAGATAACAAAGAACTACAGACATGCTGCAGGTCAGTGCTCGGCCGCCTTCCTTTGGGCTATAGACGTGCCATTTCTGAGTGGCAGTGACAGGTCTGCCGCTTCCCATCCTGAGAAATGCTATCCTTCAGTGAGATAAGGCACCCATGGCTCATCGCCCCGTGAGCCATCCTTACGTTCCCACAACAAGGCTGATTGATCCCATGCAAGAGGAGCCAAAGCTGGCAGGTAGAAGACACTCTCTTTCCTCTTAAGTCTAACGCAGAATCTTAAACTTGTCTAAAGAAACTTATATATTTTTGAAGGATTAAAAAAACACACAAAAACCCAAACCAACAAAACTATGTTCAAAATGTATGAGCTATCCCTGTGAATTAATGAACAACTATTTGGGCTAATGTTCTGTATTTTCGGGAAAGGACGCTCATTATACTTTCACCAATTCAAATTAAAAAAAATGAAGTTTAAAGATTTTGCTTTCATCTACTGTGACCAAACCCTTAACTGCTATAGTTGTAGATGGAGAGATTTATCTAGACACATTACATGAGAAAACAGGTAAAATGTTCAGTAAGTAGAAAGATGCTTGAGAAATGTTTCACAGCTGTGCTTTCCATGATGCTTTGATGATCTAAAACAACTAAGAACATGAGGTTTAACTCAGCCTCAGCACACGTATGCTATATTCGCATGGCCATGAGCTTAGACTGAGCATCGAGAGGCATTCTACTTCCACCCCCTGGAAGTATCTGATTTCACACTATTACAATAGTTATTGGATCTGAGACCACGTGAAATCCTCCTTGGTTCTATTTCCCTTTAGGGTGGTCACCTACATCGTAAAATTATGTTTCACTGCAGTGGTAAGTAATTTATTTATAAAAACAAACAAAAAACCCCAAATAAGATTTATTCGTAAAAGAGATTCCATCCAAATCAGCACGTATCACAAGTCACTCTAGTGGTAAAAGGTTACTTCCCCTGGAAAGGGAATCAGTTTGAAAAAGATGTGATTCCTGCTCCTGGCAGGGGCAGCCTGGGAGCCAGGGACTCGCCCCCGGGAGCCCGGCTCCTCCATGCCCTGGGCCTCTCAGAGATATAGGTCTTCCTCTTCTCCGCTCCCGTTGGCTCTATTGTGCACCCACTGAGGCGCTTAGCCTGCTTATGCCTTTTTTCATAACTGTGGCTTTGCAGTTTAGAAATAGCTGAGGCAAGTATTCAGGCAGAGAGGGTTTGAGATCACCTACAAGGTACCCTGTATCAACGTGGGTGGGGTGATGGCATCACAGAAGAATGACTGCCCAGCCTACTAAGGTGCCCCTGAGGCTGAGAGGGACGCAGAAGCACCGCCATGCTCCCAGCAAGGACACGGAAGGCAGCTGCTGGAGCTGAGCGCCAGCGGCCTTGCAGACGGACCTGAGCGGGTGGTTCCCATGCTTCACTGTGGGTGTATCAGAATCACCTGGAGGGCTTATTACCAAACTCAACTCTTTATCCAACTGAAGTGCCACTGTGCTTCAAATCATGGTGTTGAGTCCACAAAATGCACATGCAAATAACTCTGCAGTTCAGATCTTAGGAAAACAATTTTTTAAGTTATAGAAAACACGCTTCTTATATACCCCCCGACACACACACACATACCCAGCCCTGAGCAGAAGCGTTGCCACCTGTTTCAACAGCTAGTTTCTTTTCGTAGCTGAGCAGTGTTCCCTTGTGTGCGTGTACCACATCCATTCAACCGGTGATGGTCATTTGGCTTGTGTACCTTTTTTATCTCAAATAAAGTTGCTATGAATATTTGTGTGTAAGTCTTTGTGTGGAAATATGCTTTTATTTTTCTTGGGTAGACACCTAATAGTGGACTGGCTGAATGATACAGTGGGTATATTTTTCACTTTTTAGAAACTACCAAACTGTTTTCTAAAATGGTTGTGCCATTTTATATTCCCACCAGCAGCTGGGAGAACCAGTTGCTCCCAATCCTTGCCAACACTTACTATGGGCAGTCTTTTAAAATTTAAGCCGTTCTAGTGTGTGTGTGGTGGTATTTCCTTCCAGTTTTAACTTGCATTTCCCGAATAACTAATGATGTTGGGTGCCTTTTAAGTGCTTATTTGTTCTCTGTATATTTTCTCTGGTGAAATGTCTGCTCAAATCTGCCTATTTTTAATGGGTTGTTTGCTTTCTTATTATTGAATTGTAAGAATTATTTATATAGATACAAGTCCTCTGTCAGATAAGTTTTGCAAATACTTTTTCACACTCAGTGGTTTAAATTTTCATTTTCATAGCAGTGTCTTTTTTTTTAACATTTTTTATTGATTTATAATCATTTTACAATGTTGTGTCAAATTCTAGTGTTCAGCACAATTTTTCAGTCATTCATGGACATATACACACTCATTGTCTCATAGCAGTGTCTTTTGAAAAGCAAAACTTTCTCAAGAAGAAATAGATAACCTGAATAATCCTATAGGTATTAAAGAAACTGAATTTATAGTTGAAAACCCACAAAAAAACCTTCCCCATCCAGACCCAGATGAGCTTCACTACTGAATATTTAAGAAATAATTCTATACAAATGCTTCTAGAAAATAAAAACAGAAGTGAAGGGGATGCTTCACAAATCACTCGGTGATTATAGCATTACTCTGATACCAAAACTAGATAAATCACAAGAAAGCAAGCTACAGAACAGCATTCCCAATGAACATGGATGCAAAAATTCTTAAAATTTCAGCAAGTCAAATTCAGCAATATTTTAAAAGGATAATAGGTCATGACTAAATGCAGTTTATCCTAGGATGCAAGATTGGTTTAACAAACTCAATGTAATCTACCATAGTAACTGTCTAAAAGAGAAAAACCATACCATCATCTCACAGATGCAGGAAAAGCATTTGAAAAAAACTCAACATTAATCCCCAACGAAGAACTCTCAGTAAGCTAAGGGAGATGGGAACTGGCTCAGCCTCATAAAGAGCGTCTATGAAGACTCGTTTCCTATCAATACTAACTCCCTAGGAGAGCTCACTGTCTAAACATATTATTCATATTCTGATAATTCCTACATTTAGGAACGGAATGTAATCCTTTTGACAGAGGTTGGATCACATCATTCTTTTGCTCAAAACTGTCCAGTGGCTTCCTGTGACATATTTGGGATAAAAGCCAAAGCCCTTACCATGGCATGAAGGCCACTCCTTCCATCCTATCTGCTGCCACCCTCCCCTGCGACCACAGCACTCCAGCTGACCAGGACAATTAGCCACGCCTTGAATCCACTGTGCACACTCCTGCCTCAGAGCTTCCCCGTGTTCCCTCTGCCTGGAGTGATCTCCCCCTGGGTAGCTATACGGCTTGCTCCCTCGACTATAAGTCATACAAGTTGGTCTTGGCTCAAATGTCACCTCCCCAGAGGGTCCTTCCTTGACTACTTTGTATAAAATGGCCCACCCTATCACTTATCCCTTACCTTGCTTTCTCTTCACTGCACTTCAGTACCCAAATACTATTTCTTTGTATACTAGCTGCCCCTCCCAATTAGAACAGATCCTTACAGACCCTGTTTACTGCTGTATCTCCAGGGTCTAGAATGTACTTGAAACATAGAAGTTGCTCATTATGTATTTATTGCATGAATAAACAAATTGTCAATCAGAATGCCTGATTTTCCAATATTCTCACCAGATGTTATAAACCTTTATAATCTTTGCCAATCTAGTATGTGGGAAATAATATCTTCATACTTTGTATTTAATATGAGTGAGGCTGGGTATCCTATTACATTTTTTAGCTTGGCCTTTGTTTTTCTTTTTTTCTGAAAGCTGTCTTTTCCCTACTGCTTTACAAGGGCTATTGATACATTAAAGGAATGATTCCTTTGTCCACCATATACTACAAATATGTCTTTCCAGTCTGTCTTTGCCTTTGACTTCATAGTCACATTATCAATCTTTTCCTTTTGGTTTCTTGTGTTGAGAAATCTTAGAAAGTCCTTCCCCATTCCAAGGTCAGCATAGCATTCATCTTGTTTTCTTCTAATACTTTATATATGTGTATTTAAAGATTATGATATTTAGATCTTTGATCCATCTGGGATTTTCTTTGGGGTATAAAGAGTAAGGAAGCAACCTAGTTTAAAAAGCAAATTTAGTTTTAAAATACATTGAATAAAATGTCCATCAACAGGTGACTGGATAAAGAAGATGTGGTATATTTATACAATGGAATACTACTCAGCCATAAAAACCGACAACATAATGCCATTTGCAGCAACATGGATGATCCTAGAGAATGTCATTCTAAGTGAAGTAAGCCAGAAAGAGAAAGAAAAATACCATATGAGATCGCTTATATGTGGAATCTAAAAAACAAAAACAAACAAAAACAAAGCATAAATACAGGACAGAAATAGACTCATGGACAGAGAATATAGACTTGTGGTTACTGGGGGGGGTAGAGGGTGGGAAGGGATAGACTGGGATTTCAAAATTGTAGAATAGATAAACAAGATTACACTGTATAGCACAGGGAAATAATACACAAAATGTTATGATAAATCACAGAGAAAAAAATGTGACAATGAGTGTGTATATGTCCATGAATGACTGAAAAATTGAGCTGAACACTGGAATTTGACACAACACTGTAAAATGATTATGAATCAATAAAAAATGTAAAAAAAAATAAATAAAATACATTGAATACAAATTTCTGGATACCATTTATATAACATTGTTATTTTAACAATAGGAACGTTCATAATTAAAAAAATTAATTCAAACAAAGCTCACTAGTTTTCCAGTATACATTTTTATAAGCAGTTTGATACATATATATGTACATATGTGTGTCTACGTATGTATACATATATGCAATAAAATTCTATTCTCACCATTCTCTGGAGTGTTACAATTTGATATCACTGTCACTATTAAAATAGCTTCCCAAGAAGAGTTTCCACTTCATTTTTCTCAATGTTTTCTCACTTTCCTGGATTTTGAAGATTTCTTTTTCGTTTTATTATTATACTTTTTTTTAAAAAGTCTCTTTTCTATTAAGCTCACTTCTTCATGGAGAAAGGACGTCTTTATTCTTAATAAGAAGGAGAAGAGATTTAGTACAAACCGGTAACTCAGAGAAAAATTTGATTCCTCATAGGTTGTCACATGTTTACAGTAGCTAGAAGGGAGGAAAAGAAGACACCATCATTTAAACGGTCACTTAGAAATGCCTGCATCTATCCTTTGAACATCCCCCAATAACTTAACCAATATATACGGTCAGGCCTAAAATAGTACTCTGAGCTGGAAGGGAACTTAGAACAATCTGGAAGGAAACCTCTTAATTTTGTAAAGGAAAAAATTTTCGGAGTGCCTCTGGCCATGATGCGTGAGACATGGGTGGTACACAGCCAGGTCTCATGACTCCTCTTCCACTCCGGGGCCCACCCCTCTTACCGTGGTCAAGGCGAACCAAAGCATACAGGGAGAGATACTGGACATATTTTAAAACAAACAAAAGAAAACATATAATCCCAACTCCCTCCCCCAAATAAGACACCACACTTCATAATATATGCCCAATTCTGTATGTGCTCTATAGAAAGAAGAGTTCACAAAGCAGTATTTCTTATTTTAAAGTAGTAGGACCTGAATCTGACCAAATCTCTAAAATGCTAATTAAAACTGCTAACTGTATTGATCTCTAACTATACCAAGGTATGAGTGGGCCAGGGGACAGAGGAACTTGTTAAGTGGTATTATGGGCTATAATCAGCAAAATCTAGACTATGGGAAATTGTACAGGACACGCGACCAGGATTTTCAGTAAGTAAACTGCAAGGGGAAAAAAAAAGAGATAAAAGGGGAATTTATGAACTAAAACACTTAAGGGATATCTCAACCTCCTGCAATCTATGGACTCTATTTGGATTTTGAATTATTTTAAAAATTATGTGACAATCAGGAAAATCTAGACATTGGCTACATGTCTAACAATATTAAGGAATTACTATTAGTTTTTTATATCTGATTAATGGTATTATGGTTTTGTTTAAAAGAATATTATGATGTACAGAGTTTGCTTCTAAATACTTTGGGGGAGGAGGGGTGAAGGGGCGGGTTGAGGTGCGGGTGAAGCAAGTCTTGACAGCCGCTGAAGCTGGGCGACGGGGGGTGCGGGGGTTCATTACACTGTGCTCTCTACTTCTGAAGATAAGTAATTTTCCATAATGAAAAGGTTTTAAAAACAAGTAAATAACATAAAGGATATAAACATTTAGATACATACAAAACATATATGGCCCTAATTCCTGAAAGCATGTTTATGCTGCACCACAAAGCCCTGCCACCCATCAGTTCTGACTATGGGTAACTACTCGTGGTTCTTCTTCTGTGAAACAGGGAGAAGTAACAGCCTCGCACGATGGATAAGAGGATTGAATGAGAACACAGATTAAGCACTTATCCAGTGGTTGGCACACAGTAAGGGCTCAAAATGTTCACTTTCCCAACTTCTTTAAAATTGATCTTTTAATTTTCACTTAAAATCTTAAGGCAATTTTAATAATACACAAAAAAGCCAACACCCTACTGTGTGCACCAGTTGGAAATTTAAAAGCCCTCAACTGTTTGTTCATTGATTGGTTTAATGCAAATCAAATATAAGTCATTTATACGAATTCTCACAAATATAGTGGCCTCTTTTCTTCTTTTCTAATTTTTAATTTTAGCTATATTAAAAGAGACTGTTTCAGATAAAATATTATCTGAAAATATTAAAATTATTTAAAATATTGTTTCTCTTGCCTCGGGACCATAAGGAAAGCTCTATTTCTACAACAGAAAGATATTAAGAGGTACACAAAGCATTTCCTACAGTAAGGACTTTTCATTTCTAAGTTGAATCAGTAACTTTTAAGGATTACATTCCCTAACTTTTACTGTGGGAATATTAGAAAATATAGGTAAGCAAAAAACCCAAAGAGAATGCACACAGTTTGGGGTAATGTTCTGTGTTAAAGCTGAGACATGGTCAGGCTTCTCTGGTTCTGTGGAGCTACTGGGTGTCATGAAGGAACATCAGACCACTGTACTTTTTCTTTTGTCTGCTTCTGCTTCTAATGCTGGTGTCCTCTACTCTGTCAAATGAGTATCATTTATGCTTGCTGTCAAGATGCCTATCAGCAGAGCACCTCTCAGTCCCCCTCCTATTCTGTTTCCTTTGATGATTAGGAATTTGGAAATCAGACAACTCAGCTTGACAGAAACACACCTCCAGGCAGAGTAATAAGCAGGCTCTGAGTCGGGGGCTAAGGGGCTTTCTGAGAAGTGTATAAGCTTTACTCATGGACTTTGTGATACTTTTATTGGTTGGCTTAGGTCTAAATAGGCAAGGTAATCTGACAGACAATTTTGGTGCATAAACTCATGGTATCTCTGATGCTTCGTCTGTATTGTATAGTGTTAGCCTTATAATTCATGCAGAGAAAAATATCTCAGTTTCATCTCTGACTACACCAAGGTCTATTTAGAACTAACTGTCTGATATTACAGTATTAAATCCATGAAGAACATCCAGAAGTCACTGATTGTGCCATGGGAAAAGCATAAAGGTGTAGGCTCCCTGCCAACTCCCTCAGGACTGACTCTGCAAGTGGGGGAGCAGGGGAGGTCAGAGAAGAGAGGGCCTGTAGGCTCCACAAGGTCTTCAACTTTACTCTGAATGAGATGGGAGCCACCAGAGGTTTTGAGAAGAAAGGTCTGAATCATAGCCTTTCTTTACAATTGGGGCAACAAAGCTAGAGAGATGGTAAGTAACTTGCCCACACTGAGCAAGCAGCAGAGCTGGGATACGAACAGCTGGATACATTAACACATCCTCTTAACTACTATGGGAATTTGCCTTATACGCAATTCCTATGTCAATGTGGGAATGAGATTAGTATAAAATGTATGTTCACAATGAGAAAAGTCTTTATCATCTAAAACTTTTTCCAGCTTTACTGAGTTATTATTATTATTATTAAGATATGTAAGTTTAAGGTGTATAACATGATGATTTGATACATATATATATTTTGAAATTGTCATCACAATAAGGCTCGTTAACACTTCTATCCCTAAAACTCTTAAACAAGACTCAATGTGTAATTCCAATTGGCTTGATTATAAATAAGCTCACCATCTTCTAATTCCAACAAATAATCTATCTGACTCTTATTACAGTCAACTCTTTTAAATTACACATGGCTTTTTTAAAAATCAGAAAAGAACACTACTTCAGGCCAAATTAGAGATTTCATCATGTTTTTTATCCTGTGATTTCCAGGAGCATCACATACCTTTTGCAGAATTTCTGCGTACTCAGCCAGTACAGGGAATTCTTGGTCATCAGTGACTGGCCCTTCTTCTTCAGGACTCCCTGGAGGCTATGTCCATGGAAACAAGTTCTATTAGAGTCCTCTTCAGTCCAGTTGAACTGAAAACTTGAAGGGCTTTTTTTTTCAACAGCTGGTGTTGAATCAACCAGTGCACTAAATTGTTTTTGTAGATTCACCACCATTTCTGAAAATGAAGGAAAAAAGGAAAGGAATAAAATAAAAACCACAGTTAAAACACAAGTAAGGCCTGTAGCTCACCTGATAGTAATGTACCAAAGTTGGGTTCTTAGCGCTTTGACAAACGCACTGTAGGAACATAAGAACGTAACACTGGGGAAACTGAAACTGGATGAGGGGTGCTGAGGAGTTACTTAAAAAAGGTTAAAATGATAAATTTTATGTTATGTGTATTTTATGACAATTAAAAAAAAAAGAATGAACAAGACAACCTAAAGGCAGCTCTCCAAATAGAGTTCTGAAAGTCGCAGATATACAGCATTTTAGATTTGGCGGGAACTTAAGTTCTGTTTTGAAAAATGCAATGTTCCTGAGACAGATAGACTCCTATGGAGATTTCTTGCAGAGGAGGATGCTTCCTTGGATAGGCACTGGGACACCTGCTGAAGAAGTGCAGAAAGTACTTACGCATTTACTTTTCAAGTCAAGATACTTAGTTTTTCTACAGCTGTGCTGCAACTTGGTGTTAACAAGAGGAAATGCAACTCACCTCTTCTTTTATGTACCACTGGCTTGTCAATGGCAGAGTGGTAGAGCGGCTTCTCACTTTTCCATATATACCTGCACAAGGTAGAAAAACATTTGGAGCGGGATGGAGAAGAAATGGACCTAAACGCATTTCCGAGAAGTTTCTCTAAAGCAGTATCTGAAATTCCTGATACTCAGTGTAATAGCTCTGCCTTAAGATGACCTACTGACACATGTCTCTACAGGGCTTCTGGCCTTGAAGTAAGCAAGCAGCACTAAAGGAGACAGCAAGTCAAGAGAATGCTATGCCCCTCCCCAAAGCCTCCCAGATGCTGTAAGATCCACAGAAACGGTTCATCCCACAAAAAGGCAGAAACGGTTTCCTCCACTGTAAAATCTCCTTGCTGCCTATTCTCATAAAGGGAAGCCACCTAAGAAACAACTGTCCCTCCTTGCCCTTGACCAACTGTCCTTCTGCTGAGGATTAAGTCAGTAGTACTTCTGATTCTGACAACTTGTACAAAGTGGACAGGAAGGTGCCCGTGCTCTGATGCAGAGGTGTAATCACTTAATAAGCACTGGTTTTCCTGAAGATTATGTGTGAACTAAATCTTAATGAAACATACCACATGTAAAATACTGAGAGCTTGTCATCTGTGATTCTTTCAAATATCTTTCTGTTATTTATTTTTATTAAATAAGAAAAGTAACAACATACTCAAGGTACAAAATCTCTAATAATAAAGTTCCCGAAACAGTTTAATCCCACTCGCTGGATAAATCCACTGTTAAAAATTCCTTGTGAATACCTAATCTAGGTAGATTTCTTTATGCATTCAGAATAAACACCTACACAGTGGCAATTATGCTATAGCCAAGGAGGCATTATTAGTTCTTTGGGGTCATATGCCCAGAGGATGGGAAAGGTGGGCAATCTAAAATGACAGTACTCTAAGTGTTTAGATACCCCTTCTTTAAAATTTACTTTATTTTGTTTACCTGTTCCCAAAACTACAGAAGCTACAAAAGACAGAGGCCCACCACTAAATACTAATATCCTCTCCAGGACACCACAAAGTCCTGTATGCTTTGTCCAGTCTTCCTGTACAATTTGTCACCCCACTGTTAGAAATTTAGGTATAATTTACATGTAGTAAAATGGACCCCATACAGTGTACAGATCTACTAATTCTGATGAACACACATGGTTGTGTAACTACCACTGTGATTAATCCACAGAACAGTTCCACCCTCCAAAAATCTCATACCTCTTAACAATCAACCCCTCCCCAAACCCTCAGCTAAACTTGATCTCAGACAACCACTGACCTGCTTTTCTGTCCCTATAGTTCAGCCTCCAGAATGCCATATAAATGAAATTATACCGTATGTAACCTTCTGAGTCTTTCATTTAGCATAATGTATTTACAAATTCATACATAGTGTTGGATGTATCAGAAGTTTGTTCCTTTTTATTGCTGAATAGTATTCCACTCTACAGATATGCTACAGTTTGTTTATCCATTTGCCAGCTGAAGGGCATCTGGGTTATTGCCAGTTTTTGGCCACTGTGAATGAAGTATATATATCTACATACATTCACCGATAGATTTTTGTGTGAACTTAAGTTTTCATTTCACTTGGGGAAATATCTAGGAGTGAAAAATTACTGGGTAGTATATTAAGTGTGTGTTTAAATTTATGAGAAACTAACAAACTTTCCAAAATAAATGTATCATTTTGCCACATTTAGCATAGTCAGTTTTTTGTTTGTTTTTAGCCATTCTAGTTGGGGTGTAATGAAATCTCACTGTGGCTTTAATTTACATTTCTCTGCTAACTAATGATGTTGAGCATCATTTCATGCGCCATCCATCCCATGTTATTTGGTGAAGTATCTGTTCAAATCTTTTGTCCATTTAAAAAACTGAGTTGTCTCTTTTCCTCTTGTATGAGAATTCTTTATATATTCTAGACACAAATCTTTTATCAGACATGTGTTTGCACATATTTTCCCCCAGCCTGTAGCTTCTCTTAACAGTGTCTTTTGAAGAACAGAAATTCTTTCCTCTAATGAAGTCCAATTTATCTTTCTTTTCCTTTTATTGATCATGCTTTTGGTATCATATCTAAGAAATTTTTGACTAACCTAAAAGGTTGCAGAGATATTTCTGCACATGCTTTCAAATTTTTTTCCACGTTCTTCTCAACATCTTCACGACAACTGGGAGTCATCAAAGTAATCTCTTAAGCTATTTTACGTTTTCAACTACTGTTTTTTAGTGTTTCTCATAATCTCATGCATACGGACCTGAGCTTAGATACAGAAAATGTTTTAATAACTTTCATCTGACAGTATGGAAGATGATGTCCAGATGAATAAAGAGAAAAATTGGAAATTTATGTCACCAATGAAGGCGGGGTCGGGCAAAATAGGTAATCAGCGTGCCCTGGGGCTCGGTGACCCAGAACCATTCAGTAGTGACTTACATAAGTTACCTCCCTGAGCCCAAAGTACATGTTCTCTGAAGAAGGATCTTGGTAATAGATCCCCTGGACAAGCTCTTCCCTGAAGACTGGTGTCTGCCTGGAAAATGCCATTTTGAAACTGGATATACTTTCTTTGCTCACTAAATTCTCCCTTAAAGTAGCTAGAAGTCAGTAAGTCTTAGATGTGCAATTGATTGTAACACTGTGATATGAATTTAGGCTCTAGTAGCTATGTTTAAAGCGTAAGTTGGTACCCGGTTTAGGTTAATGGATGCCTATTCACCACTGAGATGCCCGAGTGGCACTGCCCCTGAAACCCCAGCCTTTCGCGTCGGTCAGGACAATCCCAGCTGGCACCAGAAAAGGAAGGTCCAAAAGCTGACTCTCCACAACAACCTAAGAAAATAGAACAAACTGCTCTTGCTGCTACTCTTGTTTCCACTGAGATTCAATGACTAAAGACATTCCTTCCCCAACAAGGAAGAGGAAGGACCCAGTTTCCCGAGTGTCCACGGGATGTCAGAGTAAGTTCACCTCTCATCTTGTTTCCTTCATCATTGTGTATCTAACCCGAACAGTAAGAAACTGTTAATCTCCCCAATTTGGCAAGGATCCTCTCTCCCACAGTGCTTTATTCATTCCTGTAAGTCTATTTCTCTATTTAAAAGCATTCTTCAATTTAGAGGAAAAATAATCTATTTCTACCTGTGACAAACGAAATTCAGCTCTTAGTTAAGAGTAGAAAGCAGGTATTATTATCCCCATTTTATTGATGAGGAAACTGGAGCCGAATGAATTACCATTTTAACTAATTTGAGGAATCTTCATTTTTCTCAAGGGATATAATACTTGATCCAATGGGTACTATTGTAAATTTACATAAAATACAGAGGTAATAACTTTTTCTTCAAAGTCTCATAGAGATTGAAAGTTCTAAGAATAGATTAAAAACCCATTCAAATCAGAGAGCTATAGTAACGTTTGCTATACAACATTAGGTAGAGTGTCTCTGAAAATTTATGAGCTAGTCAAATTTTCGTGCACTGAGGATAAGAGGTTAAGTACTTTGCCCACGGTCATACAGCTAGCTGTAATACAATCCGGATTCAAACCCAGCACTGTCTGTCTCTAATGCTACGCTCCTTCCACTCTATGATGGACATACATCAGAGTAAGAGTTCAAAGTCAAACAATGAGACTAACTGAATTAAATATACTATGCTCTTCCTGATTTCCTTCGTTTTGATTTTTATAGGGATCTTTATTTGGGGGGGGACATTTCAATTATATATGTCACAGGTTGACATCTTTGTAATATTGGGAAGCACAGAAGGGAAATGATCAACTCTGAGAAAGGGGAAGAGGGAGGAGTGTTAGAAATGCAGGTAAGATTCATGCAAATTATGAAAAGTTAATTACTTAAGTACAGTATGGTACCCTGGATTGGATCCTGGATCAGAAGAAGAACATTAATAAAAAAGGACATTATTAGCTTAGTTAATAGTTAATAGTAACGTAAAAAAGAAAAAAGTTAATTAGGATGTATAGGCTAATATTTCTAGGAAAAAAAAGTCACAACACTGATGAAGCTAAACTAAGGAGAATTCAGCTTTCAAATGTAAAGTAACAGACTCAAAAATAAAGCACATGAATCTAAAACTAGAAGAGATAACATACTTTGCTCTGGCTTCCTCCCATTTTTGTTTTTTCTCATCAATAGCTTTCTTCATAACTTGGTACCATTTTCTGAAATCAAACCATGGCTTATCTGAAAGAAATGAAATCCATTATTATTAACTAAATATGTCACATGATAATAATACACACTTGCTCATTTGAGTCTTCATTCACTGTCATGACTAAACATCTATATACCAGCCCTTGAAAATTATGGATGGAGTCACTGTCTCCATGTTCTAATAGATTCCTGAGCAATCACCGTCACTCTCCTCTCTGACATCCCACCTGTACTGCGGCCCTAACCAGACTGTACCAGAACCATCTTTTTGCATGTCTGTTTCTCCTAGACTTGACTATTACCTCCCTGAGAACAGAAGACATATTTTGTTTGTGTAGATGACTATACAATCAGGCCTCTGCCCCAACACAACACCCAGCACAGTGCCTGGCAGGTGGTGCTCCCATATGTCTAAGAATATATGAATTAAGAACAAAAGATGGGAAAATGTGTGAAATGGCACTATAGTAGCTGAATCCAGACTTCCGGTTTTATCAGCTCTTATTTCTGTTCTTCCTAATCCTAGTCCAAATCCAGAGACTCCAGGGATAAATAAGAGAGGAGACTGCATTGGATAGGTGGTGTGTGGGTGTGTGTTCAAGAGTGTGTGTTGAGGTTAGAGAGACAACAGAACTGAACACAGTCAAGTATAAAACTTCATTCCTCACTCTTTTATTCAATCCATATGGGGCAAAGGGAAGAGGAGGGAGGAAAAAAATGAAACTAAAGGTAAAGCAGAAAAGAGGCTTAGAGAGTGAGGGAGTTTGAAGAAAGGCAGGCTGACAGGAAGAAGATGGCTGAGTGAAAGGCTGAATTTTTCACATATTCTTTAATGAAGATAGTCTCCCTTCAATGTCTAGATAAAAATCTTTTCAATGGCCAATACAATCCTAACTTGATCCAATATGGCCTTGAAGGCCATTCAGCCACAGAGGAGGGGCAACTACCAACAGAGCTGCAAGGAAGGAGGAAAATGATAATGATTAATAGAACACAAGGTTCTTTGACCTTAAGTGCGTCACAACCTCTTAAACCTTAAGTTCCTGATCCATAACATGGAGAGCCAGGCGACAGGGGACAGCTGGGGAGCAGACAGAATGGGGAGACCAGTCCCTGCCCAGCTGACAGCAGAGGTTTATGTTGAGGATCACAGGGAAGATAATACATCAGAGCACTCTCTACTCTAAATGTCCACACAGTCTATGATGGCCCTTTAACACTGCGTGACACCTTGTTCAACCTTTCACTCTACGTAGGAGCCAATACAAAGCAATGTGCAGAAAGAAGTATTCTGCATATATTTTAGAAACAACACACAAACTGTCACCATTAAATCCAAGTTCCCAAAACCAATGAACATATATGTAGAATCGTGAAAAAAAAAAGTCAAACTCATGGAAATAGGCAGTAGAAAAGTGGCTGTCAGGGGCTGAGGGATGGGAGAAATAGGGAGCGGCTGGTAAAAGGGAACAAACTTTCAGCTGTAAGATGAATAAGCTCTGAGGATCTAATGAAAAACATGTAAAACTGCCCACATGACTGTAGTGGATAGCACTGTACTGTATAACTGAAATTTGCTAAGAGAACTTAAATACGTCTCACTCGTACAAAAAGGTAAATCTGTGAGGTGATGAATGTGTTAATTGACTTGATGCGGAAAATCCTTTCACAACATCCATGTATATCAAACGATCACAATGTACACTTTAAATATCTTACAATTTTATATGTCAATTATACCTCAAGAAAGCTGAAATTAAAAATAAAACAAACAATGAACATAAGTCCTAGTGAGATCATTAAGAAACTGGAACTGAGTGTAAGAATTCATGTATTTACCAAACTTTACTGAGCTGATCTTGGGCCAGTCAGTATGTTAGATCCTAAAGTTACATTAGGGGAAAAAAAGGTAAGAAAGACATGGTCTCTCCCTCCAGAAGCTTGCAATCTACCTATCTTCCTATTATTTATACAGTACTTATCGTATGTCAGCTATTCTAAGCATTTTATAAATAGTGAAAATCTAATAGGAGTAGACATACTTAGTCCACTAGTTATAATCCAATGTTTTAAACAACTAATAAAAGTTTGCACAGGAGTGGCTGTGGCAGGAGTGATTAGGTCTGATTTAGGAAGAGGTGAGGTGGGGAGGAGGTGTGAAGAGACAGGAGAAGAGGGTATTTATGTTGCATCTTAAGGAATGAAGATGGATTTGCCAGGGATAGAAGGGGTTGGAGGTAAGAAGAAAAGAATATTTTATGTAAAAGGACCAGTGTGAGCAAAGGCTGAAGGCATTAGAATAGATGGTACAGTCACAAAACTGCCAATAAGTTCATGGTCTAGTATGGCCAGTGAGTGGAAGCTGGGAATAAGCTGGGAATAAAAAATTACACATAGTAGGAAGTCACTCAGGTTTTTTAGCAGCTTTGATACAGTTAGATAATTATATATATAAAAAATTCTGGTACAAAGTATAATTGGTATACATGTGTATATACATGTGTATGTTTTTCAGAGTTTCTTCCCTATATTTATTGTATCTTTTAATCCATCATTTACAATCACTTTGAATTTGATTGACAAAAAAATCAAGTACCTTCTTTGTTGTCTTCATTATATTTCTCAGCAATACTAGACAAAGACCTGGAGATACAAATAAGTAAATTTAGAAATCACTTATTTGAATACAGATAAATTTTGAATTCTTTGGAAAGAGAAGTATAGGACAGTACTTGAAACTGATGCCAACTTTTAATGGAGAAGCAATCACTGAAACAGGCAAGAACACACTATAAACACTGTCACTCTCTGTTGGCATTTGAGAGGGGTGACATTTTAAGATTCCTTTACTTTCCAAAATAATCTTTGCAGACACACAATGCTGGGAGCCTAAAGGTATACAGATGAGGCGCTAAATGACTCTTTAGGATTTGTGTTCGATGACTTAAAACTCAGGAATCGGTAGAGCAATGGGAACACGTGTGTCTACCTAAATATAGGGAAAAAACATGATCCAAACAACTTACTAAGGGAGAATGAAACCTCTGACAAAGAGCCAAGTCAGAATATTACGTAAGAAATAACTGCTGCTACTAGTCAATGCTCTACAACAACTGAGAGTCTCTATTTTCCACTGAGATAAAATACAGATTCTTTTACTCCAAATAATTAGGTAAAAACAATACAATTTTTCCCTCATAAAATTGACACGCACTTACCATTCTAAGTTGTCATCCAATAAAAAGAGCAGTTTCAGTACTACTATAATGACAGCTACAGCTTGTACATCATATTTAACAGTTTCTGTCTTTTTAGCTACAGGATCAAATGTTAGAAAACCCACTTCTCCTATTCCAGTCACTTTTACCACTTGGCAGGTTAAGTCACGCATTTCATCTGTTGAAAAATAAAACAGTAAAATGTGAGTTAAATTTTTTGGCTAACTGGACCATACTAATATGTATAGCCATAAAATAAGCTTTATCTTAAAACATGGTACTATGTGAGAACTCTGAGACACACATTTTGTGAATAAAATAAACCAAAAAATAATATCTATATAGAAAAACTAAGGGTAGGCACATCCTCTCCTGTTTTGACTTCCCAAAACATCTACTATTTATAGGACACATCTTGGCACCCAATGTACCACCACACATTGGTTTCTATTGCTTCATATGTGTTTCTTGTCTGTATTCTACAGCAATTTGCATTTACCTGAAACTAACTCCCTGTAAGACTAAGAGCTAGGAATGTACACTCATGCACTGGCTGGAAGCCCAGCTAGCATGCTGGAAGCCCCGATGTGCATCTAATTAGATGTACTGCTTTCCCAAAGAAATTACATGCTCAGCATAGATGGCACCTACTATTCAAGGCTGAATAATGTAGGACTTGGAACCAGAAAACCTACAGCCTATATACTTAGGCTTTCTAATCACTAGCTTTGTGACTCAGAATTAGAGTCACTTAACCTCAGTCTCTTCATTTGTAAAATGAGTTACGGTGAGGATGAACTGAGATTAAATAAGATAATACAAGTGAATACATTTTGAAAATTCTAAATTACTAAGCAAATTTCTTTAGTCACTAATTTAAGTACCTAGGATGTACCATTTTCTATTTTAATTAAATTCAAGTAGAATAGCTATTATTTATAAGAGCACAATAAATCGTAGTGAGTCTCCTACACACATTCAGTCACTATGTCCTATTGATTCTATTCCCTTAATGTAGTATACTTTTATTTTATAAAAGTATATATAATTTATATATAATGTATATACTATCATATATACAGTATATATTATTATATACAGTGTTATATATCGTATTATAGAATGGCATTTCTTTAAAAATGTCTTTTCTATTTATTTAAAATTAATATCTTGCACTGCTTCTTTTATACCAAAAGTACAGAGTAACAACAAAGCCAATGAAGAAATTATGAGGAAGGAAGCAGGGGCACAGAGAAGTACAGAGTCTTGATCTGAAGCCTTCTGTAGGAAGAACGCTAGCTCTGGGATGGGAAGACTGGGTTGAAGTATGTGGTCAGCCATCTACCAGCGAGGCCTCACCATGCCTGGCTATGTCTCATCTGTAAATGAGAGTACCCCCCCCGCCCTCCCATCCCACCTTCACGAATGAGGTAATAAAGATGGAGGCACTCTGGAAACTTTACAAAGTTCCACACAAATTATCTATATGATTGTGAAAGCAGCCAGAAATTCTCTCTGGCAGGTTTGTCAGTCCAAGTACAAAGGAAAGACCAAGAAATGTGTTTGGAGCTCGTTCAAAGCCATCAAAGTGGCAGTGCTTACTCAGCAAGGGTGTGTGTGACATGCCTGCTGAACCCTTTCTACCTAGCTCCAGAGATGACATTGTCATGCATAAAGGCACTGAGGAGGGGCATCTGTTGCCCTAGCATGCTTAAAACCACTTTTAGCTTTCTGGGAACCCTAAAAACTCTTTGCAAAAGGGCCAAATACACAGGTCTCCTTCTTAATCAACAGCACTATAGAACTGATGGTAGAGAGCAAATATAAGATTCTGAAAATGATGATATCCTAGAAGTTTTCTTATAATTTAAACAGGTGGTTTGCAAATCAATGTCACATTTTGGAATCTAAATCCTAAGGTACAGGGACTATCACATCTTAGTTTGTAGATCTATTTTGTTTATCATTTCCTCCTCACTATCGAGTAATACAAACTCAATATAGGACATTTATAAGATACATAAAGGTAGAAGAAAAGAAAAAATGCATTACCGTAACTCAGAAATAGCACTCCAATATTTTGTTATATTTATTTCTAATATTTATTGAACATTTTCATTTTACATAATTATGATTATATTGTATATAATTTTGTAGTTTGGCCTATTTCATTTTTTATTGTAACATAAACATTTTTCATGCTTTTATGTACTCTTCACAAACATGATCTTAAAAGCTGCATAATGTTCCTCTGAATATACATAATCCATTTACTTAACCATTATCTTTTTGTTAGATATTTAAGTTAAAGGAGGTCGATAATATTTATGTATAATTTTTTTTATATTTCAAATTATTTCTAGAAAGTTTGTGAGAAGTTAAATTTCTCTATCCTGATTCTTTTTAATACTGTCTTTAAAAGGCACTTAAAAATATCAGATGACAGTAGTGTCTCTCTGCACATTAGAATGGTTTTAGTTCATTTGTTGCTCTCAGAAGAGTTAGAGAAGAAATACTAGTAAATTACACACACTGGCCAGAAAATCCTGCCACCCTCATCTCTGTTCAACAGCAACTACGTGAGCTTGATCCCTGCCATAACCCAGCCTGTGTCACTCACATCTTGGTAATTCCTTGTGTTTCTTCCATAACCTAGTATTCCCTCTAAAAGCTCAAGATGTTGGAATATATGAGAGAACACAGGAACTTTCCATATTTTGAAAGAACCATCAAAGAAATAAATAAAAAAACCAAAATCCAAAATAGTCATTCTGATCTACGCAACATGACAAAATGTAGAAATCAGACTTTCCACATTCTGGAATCTTAATCAAATAGCTAGTGACTTCTGAAACCTCAACAAGAGACATACATGTCTTAGTGTAATAAATGATACATCTGAAAATTTTAAATTATTTTTCCTTTTTAAAAAATACTTTAAATTACAGACTTAATATTTATATTTGTGTATATATGTTACTACATATTTGTGTTTATTTTTATAGTTAAAATATACTATACATACAGTTTTGTGTATTGCTTTTTTTCATATAACATGTCTTTTTTATTAAAACACATTCAATCACATTTTTTATATTGCTTAAGCAACAATATAGTCATACCACGTTTGTGTTTTCTGTTAAGAATAGAAGTCCTGAATTTCTCACATTTCTAGTTTGGCAGGAAATTCAGGAATGGATTCCATCGGCAGATTCCATTGGGGTTACCTGTGTCTCGGTAAACTGTGAACCAGGTCTAGTGAGGCTTTCTTCACATTTTGTGTTTCATCCTACCAGACTTTGATTTCCATTTGTTTTACAGACTGGAAATAGTATTATATTTTAACCATTTTAAATGGTCCGAAATATTTTAAGAAAGGATGCTGAAATGAAGTTCCATGTTACTATGGACCCTGTCACAAAGCTTTAATAACCTGTGATTTGAGAGGATTCTATACATTGTTCATTACAATTCTAGTGAGTAGAAGCTTCCTCACCATACACACCACACACTTACCAGGGAGATTGACTTCCATCAAGTATTTCATACACAAGATGTTTGGATGAAGATAGCAGTCTTCAGTAATATCTGGAAAACGTGGCAAATCTAAAAATGTGGCAACTTCAATGACTTTTTTATAGATATCCTCATAGTTAGGCCAAGACTGAAATGAAAGAGAGAGTCAAGGTAGCAATTTTTGCAACATAAATTATTTTTTTAAATACTTTCTGATTTTAAAAGTAGTATGTATTCATTGGATAAAATTTGGAACGTAAAGAAAAGCATTAAGGGGAAACACCCATAAATCCGAAATATCCTCACTGAGCAGTTTTAAACAGCAACGATGCTAAATTACCAGCCACTACACTTCTGTCTCGCTCATAAAACTCTTACTGGCTTCATCCTGCCACTCACAGAAGAATCTGGGGACGGGGCAAAGCTGCAACCCAACTGCAGTTACACTGCTGTTGGACTCACTCCCTCTCATCCTTCTTTGCAGGCATCCACTCACCAGTCCTCCAATTCACAGCTAACAGTTCTGACTCACTGTTACATAATACTCACGTGCGTCTATGGGGGAGACAACACCAGGGTTTAAGCCTAATAGTTAAAGACGTGCAATTCAACCTCCTACTTCCCCGCATAATAGCACATAAGAGACTCACAGAATTTAGGAAAATCTATGAGCTAATACTAATAAATAAATTCTGTTCACTTTAAGATCACCCTTGTAGTTTAACAGGTAACATGCTATTTATACATTTGCAACTTCTAAACATTCTTCATATTAATACTACATATAATTTTTCACTTACTCTCCCATTCACAGAAAAATATTAAATTTAGAGTCTAGTCTATGCAAGGTACTTCGGGAAATAAAAAGATGAATAAAACCATCTGTTCAAGGAGTTTATGATCTAGAAAGGGAGATAAGGTGTACAAAAATAATCCCAGTATAAGACAGAAGGTTATCGAGGGCCACAAGCAAGATTTTTTTTTAAAGGCTTATGAAACTTCAGAAAAACTCACATTTCCAATATGGTTAAGACCCCATTAAAATTGGGCCTGCATATAAATATCTTGCAAACCTGTTTGGCAGTATTTATTAAAGTTGAGCACGTACACATCCTACGACAAAGCAATTCTAGCTCCATATGCCTCATGGAAATGTGTGTGCATGTCTACGAAGAGACATGCACTAGAATGTTCACAACAACACTACCTGTAAAAGCCCCAAGCTAGAAACTATCCAAATGCCATCAACAATAGACTTGATAGAGTAAATATCAAGTAAATTTTGATACAGTCTCACAGTGGAACACTATACAGCAAAGAAATGAATGTTCTACATGCGACAATATGAATGAATCTTCCAAACATAACACTAGCAGAAGCCAGATGCAAAAGAGAATGATTCCACTTATTTAAACTACAAAAGTCAGCAATTCAGCACCCAGCTTCTATGCAGTTAGAAGTCAGGAGAGTGACTACTCTTGGGTGGGCAAGGTAAGGACTGGAAGTGAGCACAAGGGTGCAGCTTCTGGGGTGCTAGCAATGTTGTTTCTTGATCCAGGGGTGATTCAGGTTATAAAAATTCATCAGCTTTTGTTCATTTGTGATTTGTTCACTTTCCTGTATGTCTAGTTTACCTCAATAAAACAAGTTTTTAAGTGATAAGAAAGGAAAGAATATCAGTTGAGTCAACTATTTTGTATAACAGAATCACTTCATACATCACCTTGTAGGAGAAATAATCTAGTTAGCAAATTCAGAGTTGGAAAGACCCTTAGAAGTATATGGTCTAACTTTACAAAATCTCCAGCACATAGATGTCTAACCCATCTTGTAAATCTCCAATGAAGGGAACTCAATACCTTCCCTGAAGGGAGTCTATTCCACTTCTAATGGGTTTAATCATTAAAAAGTTCTTTCTTATTCTAAGTGAAAATCTGCTTCCCAATTTGAGCCAATAACACCGTAAGTCATGTCTTGCCAGCTTCTAAATGTGTGAAGCTGTTTGGGAGCTAACTGAAGGAATGAATATTTCTCTGTTAAATTTTACTTTGGTACATTCAGCTCATATGTGATTATAAAGCATAAGGAAATACTTTATAATGGTACAGGAGTATGCTCATAGAAATCTGTCAATTTCTAGAATTTACAACTATGCTTGATTTTACTTTGTGTGAAGTTACAGTCTTCATGGTATTATGTTTATTTTGATACCACTATTTCAATGTCTAAACTCTTGAGTTTTATTAGAAAAAAAGGTTTTCAGCTCATTATCATTAACACATGATTAACCTGTAGCTGAAGAATACAAAGTAAATTTCAACCCAAAGTAGCAATGAGGCCTTTTAAGTCTTTTTGTTAAATATTGAGACGGAGTAATTCTACTTGTATACTAAAGTACTATTAATTGTATTCTACTCTGTGAATGTAAAAGAGAAAAAAGGAAAGCATAAATTCTCAGTGACCTTTGGGAAAAGCTGTCTTTTTTCTTTATAAAATAAATTCAGTTAGACCTCTGCTGCATTTTGCACAGATTTTGAAGCATCTTTTCAAGTTAAAATAATTTTAACATTACTGACAAGATTTATGGCAACCTTAGTCCTTTTAAATAATACCAGTAGGAGATGAAATTAAGTATTTTAATCTGCAAACAAACACTAGAGGAGTGAATATTCCCCTTTGAAAAATAATCATCTCAAAAAAACAATTTTAATGGATGATAAGTTCATGCCAAGTAACTGTAAGGTCATTAATGAAGAGGAGTCTAGTGAGCTAAAAAGATTTAATATAATTTCAAAACATCCACACTGGCATCCACTACTTTCTGCCTCCAACATCACTTGAAGTGGTGGCCCTATAGGGCTTGGCCATGGACTACCCTCCCTATATGGTGGCTCCCATTTCAACTGAGCAAGGCCACTCTGGGGGGCCTGCACCACTAGCTCAACAAAGCATCTGACCTTGGGGAGAAGGCTGGGAGTACACTGTTTTAGAGAATATGGTCAGTGTCACATTTTTGTTTCTGTCATATTGTCCATAGCCCAGAGAGGGGATTCAGGTTCTAATGTGGACAAGACTCTAAACCATAGATAACTATCATATAATAATTACAGTAAACATTTAATGACTATGTTAGAATAGTCTTATTCTGACTTTTAGAAAATGCATTCATGTAAGGAACACCCCCAAGAAAAGGGTCTCATAGAAGCTGCTGGATATTTGTCCTGTATTTTCATTTGGTGAGGGGACTCTCTGATGTATTAAGTAGAATAAGGGGGCTTCCTGAACACTGTTTAAAACTTTGCATGTTTAGTAAGGTACAGTAGTATTTTATTTTATACTGGTCCTTTGGTTATCTGCTAATTAATTTTATCTCATTTTTTTTTGTGGGACAGGATGGCATAACACAAGACAGACAGACAGAGGCAGAGATGATGAGACTAGTCTGTAACCACTCAAATACTATTTCTGTCAAAATCATTTGCAAGATGCCTGGTAAAAATGCATTTTCCTAGATCCCACACCAGACTTACTGAATCCATCCCTGACATTAGGTCTAAGAATCTGTAAATAAACAAGCTCTCCAAAATATTCTTGTGCAAAAATAAATTAAATTGAAATAAAATGAAGTGGCTCTCGATCTCATTTTTCTTGTAGCCTGGAAGAGACTCTCAGATGGTTTTACTTCACATGCTTGACAAGAGAAGTTCACCCACAAATTCAGTGATGGGCAAGATGCTATGGGAAGCCAGGAACAAAAGAAAACATCAGCTGGTTTCTATTCATGCCATCTGGCAGCAGTAATTCTGGAAAGGAGTGGGAGTGAGGGAAACTGAGAACAGCTGTTATCATTACATTCGCCTTAATTTCCCTCAGGTAGATTTCAAACCTGATTATTATTCTAACAAAGATTGCACAAACAATCCCAAGAGCTCATGTGGCCTAAGATGGTGAAAAATCTGGAGTAAAGTTTGAAGAATCAGTGTATTAAATTTGGAGGTGCTTAAAAAGTGACTGACAGCTCTGGAGAAGTCTTTTTCTTCCTTCAACCAACAGGGACCTAGTTTCACAAAAGGTGTAAGATTGCTCCAAGGCCAAATGAATCATCATGGCAGAGTGCCACTCAGTGGGTTTGGCTGAACCAGCATTACATCTTTTCTTTTTACTCATTCAGAGAGAGAAGATCAGAATGCTGTTGATCCACATTCAAAATACTGCAGATGTACTTCGGAATGAATTTCCAGTTTCCTCTTTATCACTTCTTGCTGAGTCCAGTGAGGGATGACGAAATGATTAATTCTTGAGTGGATTTAGAAACACTGTCAAGGACCATGGTAGAATAATATGTATATAACTTATTAACTGTTTAGAAATTGGTCTGTGGGTTTAAAATACATAAAAGTAAAGAAAATCAAGGCTGAAGAGATAGAAGTAGCCCTACTGTCTGTTAAGTCACTGGCAGAACAAACTGTATCTGTAACAGAGACGAGTGTGTCTATGCCCAACTTTGGTTCAAACAGCAATTTGATTATTTGTTACTTCATTTTGAGATGGTGTCCCTGAAAAAGAACAGATTTTCAGTTTATTCTACCAGATGAACTGAGAGATTTTTGCTAGAAGTAAATGATGCTTCGAATGAGCACCATGCTTCAGAAACTTGTCTCAAAAATAAAGCAGCAGTACAGGCAGAGGCAGAAAAAGGAGGAAGTTGTCTTTAAATAAGTAAAGAAAATGAAACGGCCATCTACCAGGAGTTAGGAATCACAATTCAGAAAAAGGAGATGGTTGGAAATACTAAAACTTTTTTTTTAATCGAAGCATAGTCAGTTTACAATGTTGTGTCAATTTCTGGTGTATAGCATAATAGTTCAGTAATACATGAACATATATATATTCATTTTCATATTCTTTTTCATTATGGGTTACTATAAGATATTGAATATAGTTCCCTGTGCTGTACAGAAGAAACTTGTTTATTGGAAACACTGAAACTTAATCTGTGCACCTGTCTCCTCTCCTGAGCTTTGCTCTTAAGTCAGGGTGATGGCAAGAAGACAAACTCTCCCAGCTTGCTTCAAAGAAGAAACAAACCACATCAATACGCTCTGTACTCTGTATTCCATTCCCTATGTTTCAAGCGAGTTTTGTCAG